AAGAGTGTCAGTGTTTCTCTTTAACTGGAACAGTGGTTTTTGGTTTGTCTGATGAAAACACAAGACAGAAGGCACATCCTAAGAAATGATTTTTTTGTCCTCACTCTCAAATTCAGCCTCAGAGCGTGGAACAGCGAGTACGTGATATGATCCAGAGCTCCTCCAGAGTATCTACTAACCATGTAGTGACAGAGATTTCTCAGCTGCTGTTCCTGAAGTTCATGCGTCCATATCTCAGCCCTCAGGATGATTGACAGCCAATTAAAAATGGTCTCTGGCTCACCTAAACAGCACAAGAAGATGCAACATATAAATCAAGTCATATATAATAAGAACTAAATTACAGTGCAGTGCAGATGATTAGATAGATAGATAGATAGATAGATAGATAGATAGATAGATAGATAGATAGATGGATAGAAAGGTTTTCAGTGGTGCACTTGATCAAGCAGGTGCTGCATATGTAGAAAGCAAAAATTGAGTAAATAAAATCAGTTTAAATGAAGTCAAAACTCAAATAAAAAAAGACTCTCTGATAAAAGTATGTTTCAATAAGAGAGATCACTGACTCAGCCGACATGATTTCCTCTGGCCTTGGAACAGACAAAAGACCTCTGCTGCCGGAGGACCAAGTACATCCTGCACATATTACAAAATAAGAAGCCAGTAGGACTGTATGTGACGTTTGACATAGTGAGGACATAAACACACTGGTTTTAAAGTCACGTGCAGTGAAATTCGGGGACTTGGTTTAATTTAAAACAGTACAAACAAAAACACAAAATAATCTACTCCTGGGCAATACTCAAAACATGCTCTGTGACTGGGAGGGAGGATATGATTTAAGAGGAAAACTAAATCTAAAAAAAACCCCACTGTTTTCATACAACTCTGAAAAGTCTGTGTGTTTCAGGGTGTGGGGTGGATGTGTGGAGCGGGTTGGATGAGGAGTTAAAGAGAAGCACAAGTACGGAGCACTTTAAAAAAAGATGTACAGACACAGTTTATTTAGGAGGTATGCAGGCAAAGAGGAGTGATGCTGATGGGTTTATCTATGTATTTATCTGGGCTTGGTTGCGATGAGGTTTGTATGTTTAAAATCTATTTATTTATCTACACCAGGGCTGTCAAACTCATTTCAGTTCATAGGCCACATACACCCCAGTTTGATCTCAATGGGCTGGACCAGTATTAAACTGTGACCCCTTCAAAATGTTTCCCTTGTTTTTAGTGTAAAGAAAATCATTCTGAAAAGTTCATCCATTTACAAAACAAATGGCGAACAGCATGTGATATCCAAAGAAACATTATGTGCAAATTACTTCTCACTGTCATTACATGTGACCTTTTTTTCATAACTTTCCAATAAAGCAGAAGCTGCTGAAGAAGCAGGTAAAGTCATCTGCTGCCTTACAATCTGAAGTCGTGTCAGTGCCGCAGCAGCAGGGTTACACTAATATTGTTTTAAGACAGAAGTCTGATGCAGATTCTTTTGTTCTGAAGCTGCAGGTTGACAATATTCTGCACAATGTCCAGTATCTTTAAATATGACCGCAGTCAGTATTCACTGTTATTTCAGAGAGCTGTACTCTGGTCGGGGTGGGAAACCTCTGAGGCAGCATTTATCTGCTTGGTGTTTAAACTGCTCCTGAAACCTGTCAGCCTTCACAGGTGCATCAACATTAGGTGCGCAAAGTCATCCAGTGGGCCGGACTGGTCCCTTTGGCGGGCTGGCTCTGGTGCCTGGGCCGTATGTTTGACACCCCTGATCTATACTAATGCTTGTTAATAAGTTTGGGATAGTTGCTGAAAAACAGATGTGTTTTTTCTTTATCTGCTGTGAGAGTCCAAAGGACAGAGGGCTGTCGTATGGACTTTATAAATGAAACTGAAGTGAATTATGTATATTTTTGTAGGTATGATGGCATGCTTTATTCCTTGGATCACTAAAACATATCCCCACACATCTGGTCCCTCCCGTCAGTGATGACTCCAGCCTTGAATCAAAGAGCTCATGTTGTGTCTATTAAAAAATAATCATTATAAAAGGATGTGCAGCTGTTCTTAAGTTACTGATGTTACTCTCCTCTGATTTCTGGGACCCTCACTTCACTTCACTTCCTCTGCACTGACACACTGGCTCAGCAGGTGAGAGTCACTGATCCTGCAGCATGTGTCAGCGCGTGCACGCAAGGCGCACGTGCACAGATGTGACGGATCATCATCATCATCATCATCCTGATCAATTATAAAGTCAGAGCATCACATAATTAATATTTCCAGTGTCCAGCTGTAGGTGTACTGACGTCATTCCGAGAGGAAACAAAGAACTGCATCGATTACACAGAATTAACAAGGCTGTGACCGGAAGTTACACGCGTCTCCTTCACAATAAAAGCACGGAAACTAATAATAAATGAGTATTGGAATGCAGTGATTTGTTGGTTATCAGTATAATCCGGGAGGTTATTTATTCTGATAATAATGTGCAGCAGGTCTACAGCCTGTAGCTTCATGTACTTGTATTTTTCTTTATTCTGATTTCTGCACATTCATGCATATATTCGGACTATTTATTGTTTTAGAATTTCATGATAATTTTATACTGTAGGCCTTTATGTTTATATATTTCTTCCATGTATTTTACCAGCTTGATTTTGAAATGTATATTCAGGCATGATGAATAAAACCAGATATATAGGATGTCTAGATGTCATAACCAGAGGGTCGCCTGTTCAAGTCCCCGTCTGGACCAAAATATTGAGCGTGGACTGGTAGCTGGAGAGGTGCCAGTTCACCTCCTGGGCACTGCCGAGGTGCCCCTGAGCAAGGCACCAAACCCCCCAACCGCTCGGAGCGCCTGTCATGGGCAGCCCCCTCTGACATCTCTCCACTTAGTGCATGTATAGGTCCATTTTGTGCATGTGTGTGTTCGGACCTGTGTGTAATTGACAAACAGAGTGAAAAATTGAATTGAATTTCCCGTCAGGGATTAATAAAGTATATAAAATTTAAAAAAAAAAAAAAAAATAGAGTCTACTTCTAGTAAATATGAAGACATATACTTAAAATCAATTAATCTTTAATTATTCTCTGTATTTAAAAGATGTTTTAATTATGCAGCATTTTGTTTTGATCTGCATATCAAACAGCTGTTTATTTGTTAATAAATCAGGAATAAACATCAAATCCAGGCTGTAATCACCTGTTTATCATTCAGGAGGACCATAATCAATCTACACCCTCTGTGACCCAGCCTCTGAACAGGGTCTGGGGTTTGTTTTCCCCTCACAGGAGAGTTATTAGAAACTTAACAGCTAAACTGAATGTTTTTAGAGCATTTTGAAACTAAATCTTACATCAGGGTTCTCAAAGTTTTCATGACTGAGTGCCATTTCAGGGAGCCAGCGTTTGAGTGAAGGTTGTAAAAGAGTGCACACACTATGACTTCTTAATGACGTATTATACAATGACATTTTTTAACAAATCAGTTTTATGGCACACTGACACTTTACAACTTAACATTTTTAACACTTTTGAAAGTAATGAAACAGACAGGACAGTGTTTGACATACAGCACAGGTATGTGGAGATAGACCCCAGGTGGTGTTCAACACCTGCCCTTTTGACCTCTGACTAGTTAAATGCCACTTTTAGCAAGACTTTTTTTTTTTTTTTAAATAATTGTTATTTATTTTAATTATTTTATATTTCAGTTTTTAAATTTGGCCCATGGCATCAAGTCTCACTTTAAAGAGTGTTGTTTGCCCAACAACATTTTCCCCTCTGGGATCAATAAAGTATTTCTGAACTGCATTTGAGTCGAGCCCCTGCCCCTCCCTCTTTAACTTCCCTTGTGGCAGCTACACAAAAATCGAGCGCCCTGCAGAGCAGCATCACATCTCTCTGACCTTGAACCTCGGCATCAGTTGACACTGTTGTGAAATGAAACCACTATTAAAACATCTTTTCTTTCTTTCTTTGCTGTTGTCTGTTACAATAAATGATAAATATAGAAAATGGATATGTGTGCAGCAGCAGTCAGGTATATAAGGGTATAGATATTCAGACACCTTATATGTAAGTTAGACATTTTCCTGCTCATTACTGTGCACTGATGTATACTCCGGCCTCAGGGTGCTGGCAGATAGAAACCTGCCGGCAAAGTGTACTTTGCATGCTCACAATATTTTTTTTTTTTTGCACTTCATGTGACCAAAAAAAAAAAAAATTCCACCTGAGCACTGCCCATTAAAATGTCTGTGCACGGCACTGGTACGGCAACACCACTTGGACAAACCACACAGTAAACTACACTATGCCATAATATTAAAGCCAGTAGGAACAATAACAGCAGTTTGATAAGTTTATTTCAATTCAATTAAAGTCAAAGGAACTTTATTTATCCCGAAGAAAAGTTCTTGTGCCAGAAATGCTTCAAATTACAGTAACACTAAGTGCAGTCACCACAACTTAACGCTTACAACCAGAACAACCAGTGTGTTCCCGGGGCAGGGTCACTCACTGGGCCCAGTTTAAGAACAATAGAGAATCAGATATCTGGCAGAATAGACAAATATACAAGACAGAAGTGTTTTCAAGGAGCAGAAGCAAAAAATAGTGTCTAATAGAGTAACAATGGGAGTATGATAAGTATTGGAGTTACTAAAAATGAGCTAAAATGGTGGGGAAAAAAGTTTTTTATGATTACTTTACTATTTCAGACGGTTTCTTTTTGCAGCAAAGCAATTTAATTTTCCTTATTTTTTTAATCAAAATATAGGGGAAGGGAAGCCTATAATTACTGCCTAGTTTAATACCATAATATAGTCTATAATAGAACTCTGACAAGGGTCATTTTGATAATGAGCACTTTTACGTAGGTCACTTATTTTTTCACTTAAACAGCAGTTTGAAGACAATACTTTTACTTGTATTTGTTCACTGTTAAATATTCCATCATCTGTAGTATAAAAAATAATAATCTTGATTTGCAGGAGCGCCCCTCTGAGGCTCTTATTTTGAAAGCAGGGACCGGAAGTAGCCTGCAGTGTCTGTTCTCTTTTGATACTGGTCCTTTTTCAGCACAGCATGCAGTTTCAATCCGCGGACAGCCTCTTCATCACAGCAGCGCAGCTGTGACAGGAGTCCGAAAACAAGAGGGCATCGTCGGACAATGGAGACGGTGCAGCCCGCTGTCCCTCACGGAGCTCTGCAGCATGGACCCGTGCACATCATCACCCACACAATAACTGTTATTTCAGCAGTATTTACCTGTGCGCGTGCATGTGAGCGTTTGGTTTTTTGTTATTAATTTGATGGATAATCTGATGCGTTAAAGTTGGTCTCTGATTTCGGATCCGGATCCAGATGATGCTTCAGTTTATGTTTCCTTGTGCTGGCTCTCGGATCAGAGACATGCTGTGCTGCACCGACTTCATCAGATGATCCTCCGCTGTGTTCCCAACAACTCAGGGTGAGTGACGGTATGTTAATGCATGTGAAATAAGGCTGAGATCAGTGTGTGTGCGCACCTGCTCTGTGAGCCGCTCTGCAGCTGCTGTCGGTGGACTCACAGGGAACTGGTCCCGTCATGGAGCAGGATGGTTTAAGGCTTCAAAGGTTTCACATCAAATATAATCCTGATTTTAAATGTGTGTTATAAATGCAGCACTCTGTGTCGTTTTGAATCTGACTGCACCTCTGGGTCTGTGCATGTGAGCAGCTCTGACTCTGTGATGCTTCATTGTCTCCTGTCAGAGGAGCAGAGAATAAAACATTTGCATTGAATGAACATGTAGATGTGTGGTTTCCAGGTGCCGAGCTTTTCCCGAGGTAGGACCTCCTCTGTAGGCCTGTCCCCGTCCACCCAGCAGCCATGGACCTGCCTGAGTACTCTCTGTTCCTGGTGCGCATCCTGGACGAGCTGGACACCAAGCACAACACCATGTCCTACCAGGACCTGTGTAAGTCCCTGTGTGCTCGCTTTGAGCTGGTGCAGCTGGCCAAGCTCCGCAGCCTGCTCTTCTACACAGCCTGCATGGACCCCTCCTTCCCAGCCACCCTGTTCAAGGACAAGATGCGCTGCTCCATGGAGGACCCGCAGTCCAAGAAGCTCATGGTGGCTGCAGACATCGTTACCATGTTCAACTTGATCCAGATGAACGGAGGCATTGCCAAAGACAAGCTCCCCATCGGGCACAGACCCAAGTTCCACAAGAACCACTCGGTGGAGCTGTGCAGGTCTGATAACGACACCTACAAGTTTCAGGACTGTGACAGGGGGCTGGGTTATGAGCACATGGATCACCCCAGGGATGGACACCATCACCACCACCATCATCACCGCCCCCAGCAGCACCCTGCAGCTCAGAGCGCCCCTCCCTGCCCTAAATCATCTGACTGCAACAACTGCCTGCAGTTCATCCCCACCTCGGACCCTAACTTCCTCCTGGGCGTCAGCAAGGACCTGAAGTGTAAAGCAGCGTCTCTGGACAAGCTGCACCATCTGCCCCAGTACTCCAGCAGCAGCTCACACTCTCCGCCCTGCGAGATGCAGAGCACCTACTTCCCCATGGACATCGACAGCGAGTCCACCACCGACCAGGAGTCCCTGCAGCACATCGGCCACTCAGAGCCCTTCTCGGTTCACTCCTGCATCCAGAAGAGGAACGTCTTCAAGGAGGACTTCCACAACTTCGTGGCCTTTTCACCACAGGTTTGTGCTTTTATTCTAAGGATGCTGCTAAAGGACATAAGCAAACGGTCAGAGTTTGGAAATGGGGATGAATTGTTGCTAAGATTTCATATCATAATTAGAGTTCGTGACCAAAACTGTCACGATTATCAGTATTAACACTGTATTCAAGTAAAGTTTGCATACACTGAAATATTTCACCAATTTATATATTGAAAACCACAAATACAATCTGCATTTGCATTAAAATGATAACATAATAACCAAGTTAAAAACCATATAAAATGTGCATTCATATTAAAGATAGCCTGTCTTTGAAATGCATGCTCGAGTGTTTCACTGTAAATGTGGCGTAAAGTTCCTCTCCCAGAAAATCCTGCATTTTGTTTATTTCTATGCACACATCTGCATTTACTGCTCCAATTTATGGTGTAAATGTCTTTAATTTTGTCAAAAATAAAAGTTCTCTGCTACTTTCATGCTTTCATTAAGGGGGAGGGCAAATGCACGTGTTAAATCTTGAGGGGGACACGTCCCCTGTGTCCCCCCTGAAATCTACACCAATTAGAAACAAATAGTTTTTATTGCACCACATGCAGGACATGCATCTTTTTTAGTGAACATTCTCTCTAGTGAAAAACATCTGATCTTAAAAAGCCAGGCTTTTCAATGAAATGGCATTATGCCTTTTAATATGCAATGTGCCAATTAGTAATAAAGATCCTCCGAGTCTTTTGAGGTCAGTGTGTGTGCAGCCTGTTCATGCAGAGTCTCTTTTATTGCTGGTTGCTCGGCAGTCTCCTCAGAGCTGGACGTTAAGCTTTTTTAGTTGCACAGTTGCCACAGCCTCTGATTGGTCGATAAGTCAGGGAGTCATCCTCTGATTGGTCAACAGACTCATTATTGTTAACAACAAGTGTTTTTAACACCTAATGTTGTTAAAGGATGAGTTATATCTGAAGTTACGTCCCCCGACCCATTTTTTATCCTCACATATGAATAATGCTTTGACTGTGAGGTGGGACTCCCACAGTGTTCTCATTTGTTTCGTACAGGGAGGAAGTGTTAAACCATTTCTCTGACACAGAATATTAATTCCTGCTCTTGTTAAAAAAACATTTTAACACTAACCTCCCTCCTTTTATTCTGAAGGTCAGTTTTATTGTTCACATTAACACAGCTTGACTGAGAGCTCCTTGAAATTTTTTCTTTCTTTACAGTGTAGAAATGTTTTCACTCAGTCTAGGAATCCATTCGCATTTTGCTTCTACAATATGACCTCAGGAGTAGTGATGGGATTTCTCGTTCACTTGTGAGAGCCGGTTCTTTGGCTCTCATTCACTTTGAAGAGCCGGTTCAAAGATGCGCTTCATTCGTTCATTTTTGTTTTTTTGTTTGTTTTTTTTTTGCTGTGTGCGTTCAACGACGAATCGCATTGATGATTTATCTCATCACGTGATATTGTAACGTGGACCCAGAATAGACTCCGCAGATATAAAGTTTGGTGTAGCCATAGCAACGCCGTTTATAAACAACAAGCCTGTCAATACAAGCAAGTGCTAGCGGATAGTGGGTTAGCTTTAGTGATGTGACGTTCGCAAACAAGCCGAGTCTTTGAACCGGCTCTTTGAAGTGAGTGAGCGGCTGCACTGTCTTTCTCCCTCACAAACTAGTCTCTCTCAACTTGTTACGGATCAAATAATCTGAAATTAATGGATACAGAGTAAATTAAAGCAAAAAACAAAGAAATTAGGAACTGGCTTGTTCACTCTAAATAGCCAGTTCACTTGTTCACTTCAAAGAGCCGGTTCAAAGACTTGGCTCGTTCACGAACGTCACATCACTACTCAGGAGGCCTCCACGGTTCAGTTTGATTTATTCTCTGCAACCTGGTCACCTGAAAAAATGTTGGTGTTGTACATTTCTGTAAACTACGAATACTATACGGTTACATTTGCATGTTATTATATGGCAGATACGCTGAAACTTTACTTTTTAACATGGCTGTGATTAGTGGTTTAGTTTAGGCACAAAAACCACTTGGTTATGGCTCGGAAAAGATCTTGTTTTGGCTTAAAATACGTGGGCTGAGGGCACAATCCCCACTGACAAAGCAGCAATGCCACTTTTTCATGCCACTATCCCAGCAGGAAATACAGTCATGTCTCAGTAAAAATAAATTAATTAATAAATGCTTTTTCGGACCACAATACCAGCGATGTCTCAGGGGGGAAAAAAAGGAAAACAAGTATCTTGGTAGGAAACGCAATGATACATCAGTCAAAAACACGACCACTTTTTGGACCTAAAAAGTCTCTAGAAAAACAGCAATGTGTCGCTAAATCTCTACTGGTTTTGTCGATTGTTGCAGGTCATATACTCCGTCACTTTAGGGATGTGGCTATGCTGAATATGAAGAGTACACATGTATTTGTGGTTTGCAGAAACGTTCAATACCATCCTTTTCCTCTGGGGACTGGCCTGTACTCTGCTGTATTTCCTGCGTGGATGTGTTTTAAAGCTGACTCAGTCCTTGTCTGGGTGACTTTTCCAGGTGGTCACCGCTGAGAAAAAACAGGGCAGTAAGGCTGCTGACGGCTACCACAGGAGGGAGCTGCACAAGCCTGCTACCTTCTTCAACCACAGCTTCGAACTGCCCTACAGTAACCCTTACTTCGAGCCGCCACTCAACTCCCCTCTACAGGACAGACGCAGGGTGAAGCACGAGAGCCTGGACGACCTCCAGGCGTCCACGTACTTCGGTCCAACCACAGTCTCAGAGTGCGTCAGCAGCAGGAAGCACACTAACAAAACAGGGAAGCAGCCGTCGTGGCCGGTGAAAAGCCTCAGCCTCAACACAGAGGAGGGACCTCCAGACTTTGAGAGGTCGTTTCTGAACACGAAACCTCTCAAAGAAAACCACCATCGCAATGTCACCATCATCAGCACCGACAACGAGCCGCATTTCCAGAGCCCAAAGGAAAAGGTTGTAGCTTCTCCATCAGGCTTTGCAAAGAAAACTAATGGGATAAAAATGAAGGATGTAGCACTGACGGCGAGCGGGCCTGCAGGTTTGGAGAAAAGAGAAGCAGCCAAAAGGTTCAGGGAGAAAAACAGTCCGTCCTTTCAGGGCGGGGACAGTTCCTCTAGTGTCGGGACTCAGACCGAGCAAGCGGAGCAGAAGAAGGTGAAGGATTACCCAGCGAAGTACACTGACAGAGAAAGACACACCTTCAAACACTGTGAAGAGGACTCTGAGATCGTCAGTGATGACATCAGTGACATTTTTCGTTTTCTGGATGATATGAGTGTTTGTGACTCTCTGGGCATTGTCCAATCGTCATGCTACAACAGCAATGGGTCTCTTTCTCAGGTAACGCTGAAGTCTGAGGGCGACAGCTCCCCTGAACGCAACACAGTCAAACTAGCCAAGTCCAAGCTGGACCGCCTCTTCCACTCACTGGAAAACACAGACGATGAGTTAAAATCGAGTGTGTGCAAGCTGGTCCTGAGGATCGGCGAGATCGAGAAAAAGCTGGAGTCTCTGTCGGGGGTTCGCAGCGAGATCTCACAGGTGCTCTCCAAACTCAACAAGCTGGATGAGAAGATCCAGGAGCCCGAGGCCAACGGGAGACACGGGGAGACGGTGTCTGCATCAGGGTCCAATGCCACCCCTGACAAACCGCACACCCACCCACACACTGACACCTCCCTGTCGCCTCGTGTTTTCCAGTGCCACACCACCGGACACAATGCCAAAATGGACAACGGCGCCTCGGAATGGTGCTGCTCAGACGGGAGTAACAGCGACAGCCTCAGGGTTAAAGCTCTGAGGAAGAGCATGTTCACCCGGAGGTCGTCACGCTCGCTCAACGAGGAGATCGGCGTCACTGAGCCAAAAGTCGCCAGCATCAGCAACTCTATGCGGGACTGGAGGACGGTCTCCTACTCCTGCCACCCCGGAGACGAAGGCAAGGACAAGGACAGGGACAGCAAGGACAGACACCGGAAAGCCAAAGAGGTAGAGACACTTTTTTATTCACTTTTAAATCAGACAGGAACACATGGCATTTAACATGACAGATCATAAAGCATGGATTCAGTACATGGACAGATACGTTACATCACAGAGGTGTCTGTAGATCAATGCTTACACTGTGTGTAAACACAAAGAAGTGAAAAGAACTCGATGTTCCTGCACTTTGTGCTGCACATATCCACTTCATTTACAGAGAAGTAAAATACTCTGTGATAACAGCAGGATTTTATATCACGGCTTGGAGTTGTTGCTCACAGAGAAAGTATTTCGGGGCCAGTCTATCTGTTTCTTTATTCTAATTCTTTATTACAATCCCTGCTGGAAAAACAGTGAAAGGCTCCTTAACACACCCATGTTTGGGGGCTGAAGTCCAGTTCAGACCAAAGATCTGTGATGAGACAAGTTGAAACAGACAACTGCTGTCAATGCGGCGTTCTGCAGCTTGACCAGTGGACTTCACTACAAGCTGATTGGCTGTTGAAACAGGTGATGTGCTTTAAACCCAGCCGCCGGCCATTTGACCAGCTGAGTGTCAGGTGACACCATCAGCCGGCTTGAGTCAAGCTCAGACCGGCCAGTTCACACCGCTGACACTTTTCTCTGCAATGTTCTAAAATGGTTTCGTCTTGTCGCGAAACTTTGGTCTGAATTGGGTTTAAAAAGCCGCTATAAGTTTTTTTAGCAAGTTAGAGAGTTTTGTCGTTTGTTGGTCTTGGTTGGTGGTCTGCAGCTCAGCAGCTGTCTCACCCATCCACCATCCCCTCCACCTCCTGATGACAGTCAGCTTATACGACATCACTGTAGAGAGAGAGATGAATCCAGAACAGAGGAATGAGCGTTAAAAGTTTGACAAATATCGGATGTTCTATATGGCTTTCAAAGTTGTGCAGTTTCTGACTGAGGAGACAGTGAGGAACGTTAGACAACAAGACATTTTACACTATTTACCTTCAAGTTAACGTGAGGATTCACATTCAGAAATGATCAGAATTAGTGTTATTGTCTCTGTACCACAGCCGTCATACGTTTCCATCTGGGCAAGATATTGATCCCCAAATGGCTCCCGATGGTTGTTCCATCGGTGTGTGAGAGTGACTGTACATGGCACCACCTGCTTACTGAGTAGCAGTTGGCACCATACATGTTAGCCTCAACCACCAGTGTGTGAATGGGTGAATGTGACATGCAGTGTAAAAGTGCTTTGAGTGATCAGAAGACTAGAAGAGTGCAATACGACTGCAGTCCATTTGCTATTTATTATTTGTACTATTACTGTCTTTAAACTAATCCAGTTAGGTTCAGTGGAGCTAGCTGCTAACAGCCACCGCTGCAACTAACAAACTCCACAGATCCATTCAGCAGCTCCACCATCCACAGTCAGACACACACGGCTGATTATTTACTGTTGAATTACAGCTCACAACTTGCACCAACGGCTGACGCTGCTCTGACTGTTTCTGCTGGCTACCGAAACATCCTGGTGCAGACTATTTACTGGAGTTTACCAGCCTGTCGCTCATGCAGTATTTGAAGAAAATTACAAGCATAGCTGTTCTTGGCTTTCAATATCTGACAGTCAACCATTAGCATTTTTGTCATGTCTGGTCTCGTCAACCAAAATGAAACATAGATTCCGTCGTAGTTTTTGCGATCATGATCTGTTCTTCGCTCGTCATCATCTCGTTTTAGTCACAGAAAATTGGTCATTGATGAAAAATTTTCTTCATAGTTTTTGTTTTCGAAATGAACACTGGTCAGGTAATTGTGTGGTTTTAAATATTAATAGCTATTTACAGATTGTGTGGGCTAACACACACAAGAAGCTCAATTCTCCTTTACTACACGATTCACTACATGTTTGCAGTCAGGCAATAATTAAGATCGTCTCATTTGATGGGAAAGTGGCATAAGAATATCCCAGTAGCTGCCAACTTTGGGCTTTTACAGCAGAAATGTTTCACCCCCCTGGCTGGTTAATTTTCCCACTGATTGGTTGTTCCATGTCTCGTGAAAAGCAGGCTGTCTCTGACATCTTTCCTCTGTGCTGTTCGTTAGCATAAATGATAATGTCTTCCTTTCGTGAACCCTCCGTTCTTCCTTCTAACCCCTGAATACGTCTCAGACACAGAGATTTTTTCGCCTTAAGCCCTGAACGCTTCCATTTTCCACCAACACAGCTGCTGTGTGGAAATACACCAGCAGATTCCACTGTTAAATCTGAGCCGAGGTGTAAAAGGAGCTCAGTTACTGCCAAGACATGTATTCACAGCTGTCTGACGAGACGAGGAGTGAATCCTGTCAAATTAGGGAGACTAAAATGTCCAAGTGGACAGGGTGCCCCTGGGTGTTTGAGAACTCTCAGTTCAGGCCTCTCCATTTGTAACCTGTCAACAAGTATCAACTGGAGGCAGAGACATCCTCCATCTGAGTGCGGCTCAGGAGGATGTGACTGCTCTGCTTCAAATGAGATGGAAAATCTGTTCCTGCTGCTTTCAGGACAGAGAGTGCAGCTGTGTGGGTTCAAAAATGGAAATACTAATTGGAAGGAACAATGTCTGATACAGATATATCATCAGAGGGATGAAAATAAACTGCTCAGAGAATTCTTTCATTGTGTAATAATTATATTTCAAATAGATGCCTCAACATGTCGGAGGATATTTAATTGCTTTCTTTCCCCCCAACTTTTTTATTGGGGTTTTCAAAGTTAAACATACACTGACAAAAGTGTAAAAGTAAAAACAGAATTTCTGATAGAAATATACTGAAAACGAGTGCATTACATGTTAAGAAGTGATTAGACACAATTCCCGCTGGGCGGCACAATGGATGCAAAATATTTGGAATTAAGCAGCGCAAATGAAGCAAGGAGCGCGATTTTGCATCATATGCGTATACACAAGAGTTGCAAAAATCTGAATTTCAGCGACCCATTCGCGGCACAATAGCCAATCAGCATTGAGATCCTCCAGGGACATATGACGCTGAGGAAATACTGGCGGAACTTCATTCATCAATTTAGCGATTTAACGGGCATTTGACGCAAGTTATTCGTACGTATGAAGCGAGTCAACACAAAGTATTCTAGTGTTCAAATTCGTGTCAGTGAATTACATGTGAAGTCAATGAAAAGCGACGAATAGATGCGAATTCCCACCGGGCGGTGTGATGGATGTGACAGGAATGACACGAGCAAAGCAAGTAGCGTGATTTAGCGTCATACGCACATTCGTAAGAGTTGAAAAATCTGAGCTTCAGCGACCCATTCACACTGCAATAGCCAATCAGGATTGAGATCCTCCGTGTATGTACGACACAGATGGACACACTGGCGGAAGTTCATTCATCGATTAAGAGATTTCAGGCAAGTATGACGTGAGTCATTCACGCATATGAAGCAAGTCAACATAAAATATTCTAGCATTCAAACTCGTGCGAGTAACGTGACGTGAAAATTTGCATCGCATTTAGTGTGAATTAAAAAAATCATGCGAATGAATTATATGTAAAGTCAATGTAAAGAAGTGAGTAGACCCGAATTCCCACTGGGTGGTGCAATGGATGCGATGGATGCAACGTGACACGAAAGATGCGAATGAAGCGGCACGAATGAAGCGAGTAGTGAGACACATCATACACTTATTCATGAGAGTTAAATAAATCTGAACTTCAGTGACCAATTTGCGCCGTGATAGCCAATCAGCATTGAGATCCTTTGGGGACGTATGGCACAGAAGACATACTGGCAGAAGTTTATTCATCAAATCAGCAATTTTACGTGCATATGACGCGAGTTATTCACGTGTATGCAGTAATGTTAAAGACAAAGAGACAAATGAAAGCCGCCAGAGCCTCATAAAACAACTTCCAAGCACAGTTACGCAAACATTTGTAACTGTCACAGGGAAATCACGGACTCCATAACAAACTATATAATAACAAAAGAAAAATGTCATCCCACTTGACATGCTGCTGTGTTGTGCTGTGGCGTGCTGGAATTTTTCATTTACGTGACAACGCCTGAACGCAACACAGACTCGCTCCGCTGTGTGTACAGTGCCGTGCTGCGCTGTTGTGTGAGCAGCGTGTCTGACTGTGTAATGTAGGGGAAACACTGAATCAAGCAAGAAGACTCATGATAACATTTATGTATTATATTGTAATCGCAATCGCAAATCGCGATATTGTCCACTCAAATCGCCATCGCACATTTTTATCAAAACGTGCAGCACTAGTATGCAGTGAGTCCACACAGAATATTCTAGTATATTCTCCTGTTTGCCCTGTAAATGTAGTGCATCCTGCCATCATTTCAAACTCAACACTTCCTCTATCCATTTAATATGTTGTGAGTCTTGGGCAGTGCCAGAACATTTGGGCTAGTGAGGCTGGTTACTGCCCACAACAGTTGCACGCTGGACTGATATTTAGATCAATTTTACAGAGCTTATTTTTGGATAAGTGAAATCTGTGTGTGCAACATTTTAAACTGCAAAAGTCAGACGTGGTCAGCCCAGCCTTAGCATGTTTAAGGTTACATTTCCAGCCTCTTTGTAATGCTCCCCACACAGCCTTGCTGACTGGGGCAGGCCTTTAAAGCAGCATGTTGAAATGTCAAAACGTCTCAGCAGGTGTTTAACACACCAGTCATTCCCCGTGACCTTTCAGCGCAGAGTTAAATGGAGCGGATGTTAATTGAAATGGGTCCTGATGCTGAGCTGACTGTTTGCAGCCTGTTGCTGTGTCAGCACGTACACCACCTCACTGTCAGGTAATAAAACTGACACAGGAGTGGTAGTTCTACTGTGTGTTAGACTCCAGGAGCACATCGATAATCATATGCAATTTAAAGGTCACATATTATGCAGAATGAATTTTAAAAATACATGTATGTGTCCCTGGTGTGTGTACAGGCCCCCATACTGTACGAAAAAGACCATTTCCTCTCCTTCTTTCCACCTGTAAGAACATGTGTTTCACGCTAACTACATTTACCTGTTCACTCATATTCTTCTGTTATTCGACTTTTACCCAGAAGGGAGGTGTTTGCGTCCCCTAAGATTATAAATAGGGCTGGGTATCGTCACCAATTTCCGGAATCAATTTGATTTCAATTCACAAGGTCCCGATTCCATTTGATTTGATTCAATATTAATTCGACTGTGCATATTTCAGTTACAACACCAATTTTTGCAAGAATGTGAAAGAAATTCTGAGACAACTTATACTGTAAATTTTACAAGGGATTATTAAATAAAAAGAATAACTTCAGAACAGGATTTAAATGGAATATTTTATGACTTAATGTTTCTAGAGCAGCGAAAATGATATTAAAACAGCAAAGTCACAATATAAACTCGATATCTCACTGCAAACAAATCTAAAATGTCAATAAGATAAATCATATTCCTAAAGTCACATTACTGAGTGAAGTTCAGAAAGGCATAAAAAACATAAAAACAGTAAGCTCACAGTTACAGAGAAAAGAACCGGAGCTTCTCAATGCTACAGCTGATAATAATTTAGTGCGTATAGCGTTTACTGCTGGCAACATTAGCGGGGTTTAAGCTTTCCACATTTTATGAATCGATTAATTTAAGCCAGCCCTACTAACCAACTAGTCAACAGTTTGAAGGCTGAGTGGAGATACATGTTCAAAAGAAAAGCCTACATTTTTGGTCACAAGGAGAAACACATCTACTTTATAACATTATGAAAAACTTGGATATAAACAGGTTTTTGGATATGCAACGATACCACAACACTGACCCTTTCAAGAAGGTGATTGAATGAATGAA